ACCCAGCCCCTTACAGGAAAAGCCCCTGTTCTGTATTCGAGTCTGCTTGCCACGCGGCTCGCTTCCCCATTTGATCCCAATTTAATCAATTTTACCTGAACAATTCTTACTGGCTGACCATAGTTTTGTCCGTTTCCCCTTACCTTGGACCCGCCTCACCTGCATTTTTGCTCTATAAAAGTCCCTAGAAAAGACAGGGTCCTGGGTAACACTCGGGCCCCCTCTGTCCCTCTCTTGGGCAGAAGCTTTCTTTTCTTTCCCTCAATAAATATATTCTGCTCTTTGCCTCTGTTGTTCCTAAAATTCATTCTTCGATTTTAGAGAACACGAACTCGTCCCTGATATCATTCAGGTTGGGAGTTTTTATTTTCCTGTATCAGTGCGTTCGAGTCCCGGTACTGCCCTCCCCCGCAAAAAAAAAAACAATCAAAATGAGTTATTTTAATTGACTACGCCCTTACAGTCGGCAGATAAAGTCTCACAACTGCTTCTGCCATTCCGGAACTCTAGGATTTCTGAGCAGAAGTCAAGGGCTCTGGTACAGCTTTCGAGTCACAGCTCGGGGGAGGAAACACGCGAGTGCACACGTATGCACGCGCACGGCTACACCTCCGATTTGGTAATTGTTCTTCCAAGCCAGGACAGCTGCGGAAAACCCAGAGCCCTTTGTGTCTCTGGAGAAAAAAAGACGACCGAAAACAATTTTTTAAATTCTTCTTGAGAGACTTCTCAAACCAGGCACGGTGGCGCCCGCCTCTCCGCACTCAGGAGGCTGAGGCAGGAGAATCGCTGTGAGTTTGAGGCCTGGGCTCCATTAAGAGTTCAAGGCCAGTGTGAACTGCATAGCAAGACCCTGTCTCAGAAGAGAGAGAGACGGAGAGAGACAGACAAACAGAGACAGAGGGAGAAAAACAGAGAGACAGAGACAGACAGACAGACAGAGAGACAGAGAGAGAGCGCGCGGCCTCCCGAGCCCGGGACCCCGGCCCCGCCCGCTGCACCCCCGCGGCCCGGGCAGCACTTGCCATGGCGGGGGCGGCACC